AAAAGGGATGCCAGCAGTACTTGGTAGGGGAACTACTGCTGGCATCCCATCCAACATAAAAAGAAAATTAAATCAATAAGGAGAGTCTGATAAGGTTCTGCTCAGAACAGCCACTGTTCAATTATTTCCTTCCCAAAATTAACTTTTGCCATACCTGTCAATGATGTATGATGATGGATGAGAGCAGGCCAAATATATTTTTTTACTTGTCTTGAGAATGTCCTTGTATTAAATGTAAGTATTGAAAATTCTAATGATTTTTTTTATGCTTGTTTTATATTTTAACAACAACAATATTACAAAATAAAATTTAGCAAGGAGTATCCCAGATATTTCCTAGAGGAAAAAAAGTTACAGTAATTGATTTTAAGATTAAAATGGTTAGAAAACAAGTCATGGCAGTTACATCAGCAATTGCTCATGTCACACTATAGTTCCTACAAATCTACTTAAACCACTAACAAAGTTACCCATCTGTAATAGACATTTTCCACTTAAGAATGTTTTTTTTGGACTCTGGGTGTGTGCTCTTTGCTATATCAAAGAACGCCAGCAGATAGCGGCATTGCGCCAACTCACAGCATCCATCCCATGCCCCTGCTCTGAGAGGGAAGGTCATATCAGCTCACAGAGTCAATCTCTGTGCTACACACACACACACACACACACACAGACTGCGTCAGCATGCTCTGCAGGACTGCGGCTCTCTAGGACCAAACTTGCCTACCCCTGCACTAGAGCTATAGGAACTGGAACATCCCTGTCTTTTAACATGCAAAACATGAGCGCTTCACATGTTTGCAGTCTCTCTGGATTCTCCTTGTTACTTTTCTCACATTCAACAAACTAAACTCCGAAAATGGCTTTCTAACAAACTGCTGACGGAAACAGTCAGACGGCAGAATCAAAGCCTGTCACCGACTGACACGCAGAGACACTGGCAGCGCCACTAGGTTTGAGTTTGATCATTCACGTAGACTGTTTGTCTGCCTGCCACAGACTGACAAAAAACACACTTCTTCTTTCTTACTGCTGCACCTGTTTTCTCCGCCCATGTGCTGCATCTGTTCCCTCTCTTTTCTATTCTGTGCTGCATTTTTCTCCCTCTATCTCTCGCTTTCCGTCTGTCTTTCCCTCTGCTGCATTTCTGTGCCTCCCTCCCGCACTGTATTCATCCCCCTTTCTCTCTGCACTCATTGACCCTGCAGCGGAGTGCAGTGCAGCTACAGACGTGTTTGGGTGGGGATGCTGGTGACTCAATGGGCTCCGCGATTTACCTAATGACTGTCTGGAACAGCAGCCACAGGGGCACAAAACGGAATGAAATTAGTTACAGATCACCTGCCGTAACTGTCAAGCTTGGTGTCAATTACACTTACGCAGGTTAACCAGCTGAACTGAATTTAATTAATTACTGCAGTATCAACACCGACTGAGGCTGAACAAGCCTGTGCGATTTCAAAGTATTCCCTGAATACTTTGAACTGAAAAGCACAATATTCTAATGCACTCTTGTCTGGGGTTTTCTCAGAGTGTCAGGCTGGTGTACGAGGTCAATTAAAGGTCATTGCAACAGGATCCATGGTTCTATAAGCAGGCCCAGATTGAAAATGCGAATTTGTTTTCCTTTTTTGGGAGAACCTGTAGAATTCTGTGCAATGGAGTTAAATATGGTAAAATGTTGCGTATGTTACACTTTTACAATATAAAAGTGTTAAATGGAGCTTATAGTAATCCATGCATCAATAATTTAACAGAATGAATTACAGCCACATCAGAATAGACATCAGTGTTTATTATAAACTATTTATTTGTGCACATCATTATTTTTTAATAGATTGCATTCGCTCTTAATCTTTAATCATGACAATTAATGTATCCTCCCCTCATAACGTCAACTCTTCTCTGATGACATCTGCAACGGTGCGGGTGTGATACAATAATTTATCCACTTCAGCAACCTGTCACTCACATGAGACTCACACTCACAGCAATGAGCAAATGACAACAATCCAATCTAATTCCTGATGGACAAATTTCTAATTTGAGAAGCCTATTCACTTGGATGTACCACTTGGATGACAATAAGGAAAAAAATATGATTGTTACTTCCGTTTAATGATAACTTAATCTTGGTTAATGTTAATTTCTACATATACAAATGCTGCAACACCCGCAGAGTGGCATTAAACAGCTTGAAAGATCAAAGAAAATTTTTAATATAACTCCGACTGGATTCGTCTGAAAGAAGAAAGTCATATACACCTAGGATGACTTGAGGGTGAGTAATTTATGGGCTAATATTTCATTTTTGGGTGAACTAACCCTTTAAACGGATGATTGACCCCCAAAAAATCTGGAATTTCTTTCTTCATTTACTTATTCTCATGTGCTTCCAAACCCATATGACTTTATTTCTTCTGTGGAACACAAAAGAAGAGATTTTGAAAAATGTCTCAGTGGTTTTTGTCCCTACCATGAAAATCAACTTCCATGACTTTCATTGTTTAAACAAAACCAGTTAAAACATTCTTCAAAATACCTTCTTTGGTGTTCCACGGTAAAAGGGCTGCAGGTCCAAGGTAATTTCATAAGCTCAGTTCCTAATGTGATCTCGGTTGTACCCGGATGAGTTTGTGTTTAAACAGGGCTGAGGAAACAATAACACTGCAGGTGTATAATAACTCTCTGAGTGTGTGTTTATGTGAATTGAGTGACAGCTTTAATAGTGCTGGCATGTGATACCTGGTTGAGTGCTTCTCTGGCTGGCAGGCTGCTCTGCCTTTGAACGTCACCACCCACTTGTCTCACTCCCGATGTGGAGGAAGACCTGCCAAGGCGACCCAACTCTATAAAAGATCACAAACACACAGCCAAATTATTGTTTTGGAAAAATAATCCCAGAAAATCAAATTTTTAGTAAAATCTAAAATAATGGTGGAATTACTTGTGAAAACAAACAAGTTCCTATTTTTATCTTGCAGAACAGAAACCAGAAATAATGGTTAAAATGTATATGACAACACTCTGAGCAGGACATCACAAAAAGGGAATTGTGCCTGCTGATAGCATCGTTCATTTAAAGGAACTTTGAAAATAAGGTAATAGAGTGAGCCACCTTTGCAATCCAGCCACCTAAATCAATCTTTAAAATGCAAAAATGGGGCTCAGCAAAAAGTTCCATCTGGATTTACTACACTTTTCACCTTCATTTGATCATAATTTGATGGATTAGTGCTGTCTTGATGAATAGAAGCAGCATACAAACTGTTTCTACAGATATTAATGAAATTCAGTCTGCTTTCCACCCTACTTTACACTAATAGCGCAACATTAATTGCGCCAGGCAAATAGTGCTGACATCTGTGAATGCATTGCATTCTATAATGAGCCTCATTTGCAATGAAAGCAGGTGTGTTTGCATTTAAAAAAATGACAGTGACGTTATTTAAATGTGCATTGCACAACGTAATGCATAAAGTGCTAGTTAAGTTGGACTGCGGGTGGTATGTGAATAAAACGCATGACGTGCACTGCAATACAGTGGCTCAAGTGTTTAGTGAATTTACTCCTTAATGTATCATGGCATACAATTATAAGGTTCTGAAATGTCCAGAAATGTATGGTTCATAACTGTGACAGGTACTGCAGCTAGTTGGCTAGGATAACATACAGTATGTTTAGCTATTTCAAGCTAAAATTGTGTGTTGCTAAACTAACTGTGTTACATGGTCTTTGTGATTTTTCTTTCATCATGGTTTTAGTAGGTTTAAATTTTGGGTTTTTCCCATATTTTAAAAGACATTATAGCTATTTGATCATTCTGTTATAACATTTGATGCTTTCCAAACAAATCAATGCACACTGATCCCAACAGCATGAGTTAGCATCAACTTACAGCTCATAAACAAATGACCTTTTCAATCAGTTGCTTATGAACTGTAAGTGTACAAATGTTTTATCTCTAACCTAAACACACTTGATCTATATCTAGAGTTTTAACTATTGAAGTCATGGCAGAAAGCCTGTGCTAATGTCATTTAAATTGGATCTCACCTCCATTGCGGCACGCTGGGAAGGTTTGGCAGGGTAAGGGCAGTCCCGCTCGTATCAGTCCTCTCAACCCTGGTGGTCCATCCACCCCAGCCAAGCTCTCGCTTTGTCTCTCTGTTGCCCGCACAGGTATTCCAGAGTGTCCACCACCCCGCATGGCTCCTAGGTCATCCCTCTCTCTCCTCAATAGAGCATCTGCACTGCCATTCCATGCACCTCCATCTTCCTCTACAGAGCATTAGAGAGAAAAACACAATTAAACATCTACGATAGTACCATAGAAAGAGAATTCCCTCAATAATCATCCCTCATACTTATTCCACCATCCCTACAACCATTACTCACTCTCAGTGTCTCGGCTCCCATGACTGAATGATAATTTTCGGTGCATGGGCCAGTAAACCTGTTCTTCGGTGAGCCCTAAGGCAGCTGCGCTCTCCCAGGGAATGAACCCGGCCTTGGCCTGCAATGCCTGGGCTGCAGATCCAGTGTTAGTGGGGTCTGTGTGCAAGGATGGCAACTGTGAGCCCCCGCGCAGGCTATCGTAGGCGGGTGGGCGGCGGAAGCCAACCGAGGGGTAGGTCCAGAGCAGGGGGCTGTCGGAGGGGGGAGGTTTGTAAGTAGGAAGACCATGAGACAAGTGCGGGGTGTGTGACCGGTGCATGTGAGAGCGAGACGGAGGGCGCTGAGTGGAAGAAGAAGAGGTGGAAGGTGGCGTGGCTGCTGTGGATGATGGTGGTTGACTCAGGGTTGGCGTGGTGCTGGTGCCCGTTTGAGAAGTGTGTGTGTATGTGTTTGAGGCAGGGGTATCAGAATGACTCAGGTCTCTCTCTCGTTCACGATTTCTCTCTCGGTCCCTTTCCCTCTCAGATTTCTCAGACTTGAGCAGGAAGCTGACAGACTTGCCCTCCTTAGGCTGTGTTTGCGTCTGGGTGGAGGACTGTCCTGACCCCTTGCTTGATGACGACGTCTCTTTCTCAGGCTTGCGGTAATGGTGATAATGGGAAGGCCTGTGGTGAGGGTGATGGTGATGATGGTGGTGGGAATATGGAGAAGGGGACTTTGAGGATGGAGGAAGAGGAGTGGAATGACTGCGAGCTCTGAGTCCTGGTGCCGGCCCCAGCTGTCCTTCCCTCCTCTCCTTCTCTCGTTCCTTCTCAACTCCAGAGGACTCTTTGGAAGTGCTGGTGGAGCTCATGCTGGAGGAGGTGCTAGTAGATGCTGGCAGACTGGAGGCCGACTGCACACTGATCTTAGCAGAGCTGGTCTTGTGTTGAGCCCCTACCCCACTGGAGGCAGCAGCCGGCTGGGGAAATGCCAGGAGCGGAGGCTTGTGCTGGAGCAAGTTGGGGAAGGGTGCCGGGATCTTACTGGAGCTGGGCTCATGTTCAGGCTTGGAACCTGGCAGCAGGAAGGGTGTGGGAGCACGGGGAGGGTGTGGTGAGGAGGAGAGGGCTTGAGGTACAGGAGTGGAGGATGCAGAAGAGCAGGATGAAGGCAGAGGAGAGGAGTGAGAGATGGAGACAGCTGCTTTAGGCTTGGATGAGGAACAGGCTGGAGAGGAGGACGAGGGGCGTGGGAGTGAGGAGGAGGCAGAGGATGAGGAGGATGAGATGATGGAGGAGTGGTACGCTTTAGAAGACTTGATGCGCTCGTGTTTGAGTGGTAAGCGGCGGTGGACTTCTCGAGCCACGTCGTCTGGTAGGGGGTACTTCATCTCTTCATAAATGGCCTCTCCATGGTCTGATTCAGAATCAGGTGTTGTGGCAGACGGTGTGAGCGGGTGAGGAGTAGGGGCGAGGGTTCAGAGCTCTGGAAGGGATGGGGTGTGGTCGGGGGTGGGACCCGAGGGGGCGGGGTGTCAAAGGAGAGCTGTGTGCTTGGACTCCGTTTGGGCTTCAAGGGAGGAACCTTTCGTCCTGGCATTTCACCTGAATCAGATTTCTTCATTGCTGTTTAACAAATAAAGGCAGACAAAAGGTGAAAAAAGAGTGAAACAAAGGCAAAGAGAGAGGAGGTTTTACAGAGACCAATGGCAGGTGTGTACAGCTTTCTGGTTACATTAATCAAAACTGACTCTTTTTACTTTATTAATATAGTTCCTGGCCCTATGATTTGATGTTTCATCATGTTTCTTACTTTTTATAACTCTTCCATCCCCCTCACAACTGAATCAATGGATAAAATCTAGACCAACCCAACATTACTTCTTGTTGAATATTCAGTTGGAAATAAGTCTGAAATAAATTTTAAGCAAATGGCTTGCAAATGACTCCGCACACATAACACAAATCTGGTTATTATTTATGTAAGTTTTAGACATTAAGACAAATACATTT